GTAGTTGTTCCGATTAAATGAGTACAAGATGATAAACATCGTATACAAATAATAAGATAATAAAACTATAAAAACCTTACTCCTGGAAGAATATATCGTTCGACGTCCTGAAGCACTTCTTGCCCATGTTCCGGTTTCTATGGCGCTTTTTCCGGCAACAGTTTAAAGAGATACCTCGGCTCCACATCCGGAAGGACATCCCTCTCTCTTAAGGTCACCGTATAGTTAGCCTATCAAATCGATAACTGCCTTGCATAAATCAATGAAGTCCTTGGTGTCCATTGTTGACAATAGTTTAGCAAATATCTTCGGTTAGACGTTTCTGCGAACACGATAAAGAAAGGAATGAAAAGTAATAAAACAATCAATTGTTTTCTTACATTTCATTCGTTTGTTTACCGTGTTCGCAACGCAGAAACGTCTAATCGAAGATATTTAAGAAAGCATTGTCAACAATGGACACGAAGGAATTCACTGATTTTAGCAAGGCAGTTATCGATTTCATAGCCAACTATAAGAGAACGTTGAGAGAGAGAAATGTCCTTCCGGATGTGGAGCCGAAGTATCTGTGTAAACTGTTGCCGGAAGAAGCGCCACAAAAGCCGAAAAATTGGCAAGTGTTTAAGGACGTCGAACAATATATTCTGCCAGGAGAAATATATTTATAGTATTTATTATCTTGTTATTTGTATATGATGTTTATCATCTTGTGGACATTTAATCGGACCATCTACTTTTTAGATAACTCATTGGAACTCACCACATTTCCACGCATTTTATCCAGTAGCAAATTCATATCCCGCGATTGTAGGCGAAATCATGAGCAGCGGTTTAGGCTGCGTAGGATTTTCATGGATCTCCTCGCCGGCTTGCACGGAATTGGAGATGATTGTGATGAACTGGCTGGGTGAATTATTAGGATGGTCAAAACAGTTTCTAAGTAGCGACGAGGACTACGGCGCAGGTGTCATACAGGTGAAAAATAACTAATATCCTGAACCGCTAAATCGATTAAGTTTAAACTTTCTGAGTCTGCCACAGCCAA